AGCAGACTGAGAGTATTTTTAAAGTTTCGAAGTTTCCAGGAGGATGGTTTCTGGCAGAATGTACTGATACTTAATGTTGCATTCTAACCTAACACACACAAAAAAACACACAAAAAGCCTTTAGTTCCAATGAAGCTTTGTCGTTTTTTTCACAACACTTGTGTGGGTTTTTTTTCTATGACTCATCTCAGAGACTGAATTTGAAGAGCCTAGTAGGTGTGACAAAGAAATGTTTCTTGCAAAATGTCCATGTAGCTAAGTTTGAAATTTTATCTGCTGGAACCCCACTTACAATCCTTTAGGGACTACAATTTTTCCTTGACTTGCTGAGGAGCAGCTTGTACCACCACTTGGTGACTCGGTGAATTGGACCCACTGGAAAGAGGAAACTAACTATGGAGGGATATCAACGCAGGTTTTGCCTGAGTAAAGAACTGCAGGACTGGATCCCATGCTCATGAATCATGAAAAGCTTTTTTAAAAAAATTCATCTAGGATCTAAGCCTACAAGCCTTAATTCATGCTATTAACCCTCATTCACAGAAGAGGCTCCATGGACTTCAGTGGGCCTGCTTATGCAGATAACAGGCATAAGAGCTTGACAAAGCTTTTTCCATCCTGGTCAGGATTACTTCCTTTTGCCAGGTGATTCAGAGGGAAAAATTATGATTGCAGCTATTTTTATTTTACATTTGAGTGGCAACTACAGTCAATCAAGAGTGTTACTTAGAATCTAAAGGAGGCAAGAGTTTTGATGTAGTGAATAATTGTTTTTATTTTGTATTAAATACTAACCCTAGATGTTTTTGAACTGGTAGAAGAGCTGCTGGACAAAACAGTTGGAGCTATGAGTGTTTAAATTCTGATGTTTCTGTGAAATTCTCAGATTGTTTAATCCTATAAAATATATCCTTACAATTTTTTGTAAAAGAAAATATTATCTTTATTTATCACTAATATCGTAATGAGTAGAGTTAATAAATACTGCGAGCAAGATAAAACTGAAAACACAAGTGTTGCGCTGTCTTTTTACTTTTATCTCTTGGTGTTTAATATTATATATTCCTAAACTTCACCAGTTGTATTTGAGACACCACTATTGAGAACACTTATCCTGCATCTTTTCCGCAGATGAGGCACTGAGTATCTTGAATGATTGGCACTGAGAATCTTGAATGATTTGGTTCAGACATTATACCTTCCAAAATTATGTACCTCCATCAGTGGTGTCTAGCTGTACAATGTCACAACTTAAACAAAGCAGATAATAAGAATGGAGCTTACAGTACATAATATTTTACACCAGTTACGCAGTGTTGTGGTTTTGTTCTAAAGGCTAAACTTAAAGATACCTCAGCCATAAGCTTCTTACCCTGCAAGTCCTGGATGAGTCTATCATATCATACCTGATCCTTATATGATCATTATATTCTGCAACAGAACTGAATAAATTTTCCTAAGATCTGGATATATTGTAATGTCCTATAACATGTTTTAAAGATATGTGCTTCATGTATCTGAAAAGTGAATGTATTACAAAGATGACATACTAGGTCCGATTCTGTCCTGAGAATCCATTATCTTTCTGTATGTTGGAAGGAGCTTCCATTGACTTCAGTGAGAGTTTTATTCACGTCCTGTAGGCAGAGTCTGGAGCCTCTGCTGCAACTTCTCTGGCTTAAAGGGCAAGTTCCACAGGCAATTGTGCCAGCTGCTTATCGGACAATAGATATACATGAAGTATGTTTCAATAACCTTGTCAAACGATGTTCATTGGTATTTGACTTCTGTAACGTGGAAATACAAAACCAAGGCATCATCCCAGTATCGTACACCTTGGCTTTGCCTCCTATACTGTTATAAAGTGTTACCACAGAGACTAGAGTACAATGACAGAATTCATGTGTCTCCCTTAGGGAATTTGTATGGTTGCTTTTAACCATATCACTGGTGACGCAGGCGTCATGCTTTTGCTGCTTGATGTTATACACTTAGCATGCCAAATGTTAATATGGTACCACTACTATTGTCAGAAGGTAATCTATTTTTATTTCTTTATATGTGCAGTCATAGCTGCTTTCTACTGCTTTTGTATGTGTGTGTGCATGCGTGCTCCTGCACGCTACTCTAGAAAGTATGGTACTCAAGTTCATTTGACTGTACCCAGGAAAAGAGTGTTTAGACAGCTAGACAGGAATAGTATGTTGCATGAGTTTTCTGAAAGTATACTTTATTCAGGAGAACCCTTGAAATGCATTATAAGCAGTTTGTTTTCTATTCTTGTTTGTTTTGATACTTTAATAAAAAAGAATTAATGTATATTTATTCATGTGTCATTTAATTAATTCTAAGTTTCAAGGTCCAGGAACAACTTCATATTCTTAAAACACCACTGAGATGTTAAAAAGTAAACATGTTTTATAGGTTTGCAACAATAAGAGTCTTATAACGTGAAATTGATACTGTTCACCCCTTGTCAAGGTATAAACAAAGTTTTGTTATTACAAGGTTGATCACGAATTCCAGGCTAATTTCTTATTTGTGACCCAGGGCTTAAGTTAAAGGACTGGAAATTAGAACTCCTGAACATTTCCTAACCTTGCAACCAACCAGCTGATAGTTATTTCAGCTTTCTGATTATCTAGTGGGTTTAATGCTTTTGCTGCTGTGAAGCTTTAATATTTATAGATTGCTTTCTGTAGTTACATTGAAGATACTGAAGAAGTATAGCATGATTAGGGCTTTGGTTTTTTTCCTCTGTGTGCTGGTGTGTGCGTGCGTGGGTGTGTGTGTGTGGAGAAGCATGAGGAAACATGAACAAAATGTTCTATCCTGCCTTTCCAAAACTAAGTATCTACACCCAGACAGAGGTCCCTGTGTTTTGACAGCCGGTGATTTGGACAAAAACTTTTGGCTTCAATCCTTTGCAAGCAGTCATAACTTGTAATACAGAGGTCAGACAGAAGGCCAGGAGCTCCAGGGACCAGGAAATCCATTGCACTATTGCAAAATCTAGTTAAAAATACTATGAGCTTGGCAATGCTGAATGCTTACTTTCCTTATCATACATCCATTTACAGATGTGCAGTCACAATACTTATATTCAACTTTTCATGAATTCTATTGTAGCTGCTATCAAATTTTACTTTTGAGTACCCAATTCACTTCTAATTTGGTAAATTGATAAATCATCTGCCCGGCCTGTTTTAGAAATCCTTACCAACAGAATTAGGGACTATGAATTCCTGAAGTGATATTTTGTAATATTTTCTTTAAAACCATTGGTCTCTATGACATATTCCTAATAGCATAATTGATATTCCTTGAACAAAATAATACTTTGTATCTTCTCCTTAGGTCTTGTCTTAGATGCTAAATCTGTGTGTGTACAGGCCCATGAAGACTACAAAGTGTGCTGGGCTTTAGACTGTACATTAATAAGGAGCATTTTCTACTTTTTTCTAGCTCTTCCCTTGATGTGAATGATAGCAATATTGGTATAGCCAATGATTTATGCAGGGTTGAAAGGTTTAATAAAACTGAATGGTAACAAATTTAAATTTACAATAACTTTTCTACCTGGCCCCATTAGTTATTGATTAAGGGGGTAGTTTTAAAATCACTGAGTCTTAGTTTTGCAAAAGAAAATGGATGATTTATGGGTAACGAAAATAAACCAGGACGATTGTTTGTTAGGAGCAAGAGTGTTTTAAAAACGAAATCTAATTAATCTTAAAAAGATCCTAAATCCAGAACGACAATTGTATCTCAAATCCATTTTTCTTGTTTGTTTGGGTTGGTTTTGTTGTTCCCCCCCCCCGCCCCCCTCCAGCAGAGTCTCATTCATGCTGGCCATTGCCATGTTTCTATGTTTGCCCAGTGCCCCCAGCTGGAGACCCTGAGAATCACATGATTAAAATGTGCAATGGTATTAATTTACATATGTACTCGTAATATTCTTCATTCGTTTGTAATGACACCAATATAATATTTTCATTTCCGTAGTAGACATCATTCCTTTTTGCAGTGTAGTTAGAAAGTGACAACATTTTAAAAAAATCCTATTA